CATGAGGTAATAAGTAATTGTCTATATATGTTCTAAAGTTACTCTTTATGTTCTAAAGTTTTCCTTGTATGCTCTAAAGTTTTCTTTTTATGCTTTATAGTTTTACTATTTATTTTATAATTTTCTTTTATGTTTTCTTTTTCTCTTTATGTTTTAATAATATTTAGATCATAATAAACATGTCATGTATATTTATATGTTCTAATGTAATTCACTCTATGTTCTACAATTATCTTCTATGTTTTAAAGTTAATTTCTATTTTCTATAGGTTTGAATGTGCATTGGATGCTCAAAGGCACACTCAAAATAAAATGGATAATGATTCGAAGAATAAGCGTCCGGAGTGTAAGACTCCAATTCCTTTAGAGAAAGATGCTTCTGAATTGTTTACAACAACAATTTTCTATGAATTTCAATATGAGCTTGAAATTGGATGTTTTAATTGTGGTGTTGAGGAGATGAAGAAGGACAATGAGCTTTACATTTTCAATTTGAGGGAAGGAACTAGAAGGAGGACTTTTGATGTTGTTTTTGATCCAACTACCTTTGATACCAAGTGTTTTTGTAAAAAATTTGAACGTGATGGTGTGCCTTGTAGGCATATGATTTGGGTGTGGAAGGCAAGGATGTTAGAAAAAATTCCCAAGGCCTACATTCTAAATAGATGGTGTACAATGGCTTATAAGAAGACCATTTTTGATTTAGAGGGTAATGTGTTGGAGGAATGTATTAATGCAGTAGATAAGAAAATGTTATTAAGTGATTTGTGGTCTGAAATTCATGCTTGTGTGAGTTTAGTGCAAAACAATGAAGATGATCTTAGTGATCTTGTCAAAAAACTTCGAGCCATGAGGGTAGATTTGGAACAGAAGAAAACAAATGGAAGCAACAATCTTTCGAGCAAAGTTAAAGACATTGAAATGCTTATTGGAGCTAGTCTACCTTCTAATGTTTTAATCAAACCTCCTAAAATTTCGAAGAACAAAGGCACGGGGGTTCATGTTCCAAATCAGGTCAATGTTCCAAATGATGTCCATGTTCCAAATCAGGTTCATGTTCCAAATCACGTAAATGTTCCAAATGATGTCCATGTTCCAAATGATGTCCATGTTCCAAATGAGGTTCATGTTCCAAATAGTGACAAAAGAATGAAGAGTGACAGAGAAAAGTCTATTGAACAAAGTCAAAAGAAGAAGAGATTATGTAGAGCATGTGGGGAGCTTGGTTATCATGATAGTCGTAATTGCCCTGGAAAAGTCAAGTGATATTGTAAGTAAACTTTATTTTTAATTTTCTTATATTTATTTTGTTCTAAAGTAATTATGTTTTAAGCAAGTTTAGAACATAAAGTTATTCATATATGTTCTAAAGTAATTCAATATGTTCTAAAGTGTTTTCTCTTTGTTCTAAAGTTACTTTTCTATGTTCTAAAGTGTTTTCTCTATGTTCTAATGTTTATTCTTTCTGTTTTAGTGTAATTTAATATGCTCTAATGTTTAGAATATAAAGTTATTCATTTTGTTCTAAAGTTTTCCTTTATATTTTAACTTTTCTCTTTATGTTCAAAATATTTTCTTTATATGTTCTAAAGTTTTCTTTATATGTTTTAAAGGTTTCTTTAAATGTTGTAAAGTTTTTACTCTATATAATATCATGTGTTCTAAACTAATAGAAATGGCATGTTATAACATTTTTTAATGCTAAATTATGTGCTTATGTTCTAATATTGTTTTATTTTTTTTTTCTTTACAGGTTGGTGAATATACTATTAATCCAGTTGCATGAGATGTTATATATTTAGAAACAATATCTCATTTACTAGCACGTAAAATATTATTCATGTAATTCTTAAAATATAAGAACTCAATTTATTTACTTTTAGAAACAATATATTTTTATTTCTTTTTTGTCCAATTATTATTCAGAGTATCTCTACTAGTGTTTTTCTTATCAATTTTTATGTTAATTAAAGTTGATTATAATGTTTTATAACATCTCCCGTCTTTTCATCTTCCCCCCTTTTCGTAATTATAAGTTGTTTTATTAAGTCAATTTGAACTACGAGTAATGATAGTACAAGCATTTTAGATACCTTTATTAAACAACATTTAGTTGAATCTTGCTTTAATCAACTTTTATTTATTAAAGTTTCTTAACATTGATTTACATATGCCTTCTTAGATATGCACTAAAGAGTGTATGCATTGTATTCAAAAGGAAAAATAAAGCAAAAGTAATGGATTAGAAGCAGCCAGTTTAGAACATAAGCAAATACTTTAGAACATAGATAAAAATAATTAGAAGATTAGCAAAATCAATAATTTGGACATGTAATAAGAAAAAAGTACAACATAATAAGATATAATTAGAATCAAGTTACCAATTGAATGCTTTGGAATCTTGTTACTTTGGCTGTTGTCATTTCTTGTTACTTTTTTTTAATTTTCTTATGTTCTAATGTTCTACACTTTAAGTTTTAAGTCAAAATTAATATATAATAATATATTCTAATATCCTAACTTTATAAGCATATAATTATTAAAACATAATCAAAAATACTTTAGAACATACCCATATAATTTAGAACATGAATATAATTTAGCATATAAGTTTATATGATATATTTTATATTAAAATTTTAGCATTTAATATGATTCAACAATATATTTCTTGTAACAGGTAAATACATAGAACATAAAAAATTACTGTTATATTCTTTGCAAATATCTCTCTACAAATATAAACTTAAGATCTTAACAATCATATATCCATTTTGTTCTCCTTTGACCACTTTTTTGATCTCCTAATCACTTTGTTCCGTTCTTCATTTACTTCTGCTGTTATTATCTTCCCACAATACTCCACTCTTAATTTTTTCATTTGGTCAAACTGCAAAAAAAAAAAAAAAAAGAGTAACTTTTAGAACATAAACAGAAATACTTTAGAACATAAGCATATAATAGAACATGAATATAATTTAGCATATAAGTATAAATAAATATAATAAACCATAATATATCTAAACAATAACCAAACCAAACCACAACACTAAAACCATAACACCAAAACCATAAACGAAACTAATTTAAAACATGTATCTTATGTTTTAAACTTACATTGTCTAATTCTAGTCCTGAATTCCATTGTTTTACAGATTCTCCTTCATATGTTTCCATGTGCTTCAACAGGAACACTCCACAATCATGTTTGTTCTTATTGCTCTTCCATGACATACTCAAGTTTCTTGTTTTGAAGGAGGATACAAAGTCACTCTTTATATTTGAGTCAATTGAGTGAACGAAATCAGCAAATGCATTCAACTGAAAAATTGGATAAACTTTAGAACATATAAGGTAAACTTTAGAACATAAAGAAAAACTGTAGAACATATAAGGCAAAAGTTAGAACAAAAGTATAATTAAAAAAATGTAAACTTGATGTCTTACCATTAATCTATGGTAATTTCCATATTTATTGTGAAAAGGAATATTTGGTGGAAGAAATCTGTTGTCAATCAAATCAAATGTTCCTTCCACAAAGTTGACACACAGCAAATAGTAGTGATCTAGTAAAACGACCGGGAAGAAAACCTAATAGATAAACAGAATTAGAACATAGATAAGCAAAATTAGAACATAAGCATGCATTTTAGAACATAAGCATATAGATTAGAACACAAGCATATAATTTTTATAACATGTAGTTTAGAACATAAGTAAGTAGTTTAGAAGATAAATAAGTAGTTTAGAACATAAGTAGATACTTTAAAACATAGATAAAAATAATTAGAACATAAACAAAACCAATAATTAGAACATATAATAAGAAAAAAGTACAACATAATAAGATACCAAATTACCAATTGAATGCTTTTGAAGCTTGTTACTTCGGTCGTTGTCATTTCTTGTTGCATTCTATCAAACAAAGCCTTCATTCTATCATCTTGCCTTTCATTTGATTTGAAGTATTTTTCTGTACAACGTATGAGCTGAAAAAGAAAAAGAAATTAAAACATAAGTAATTAGAACATAGGTGCATAGTATAATCTATATGAGAAACAAAAAGAATCTACTCTTAGAACATAGTTATAATTTTAAGTTCGAAAACATACATAGCATTCAGTACTGAAAAAGAATCTACTCTTCTTGTCTACACCACGTCTTTTATTTTCAAAATTCAATAGGCAAACATAAGCATCCACAACATTGTTCAACATGTGCTTATCTTCTATGAGACTATGAATCTCATCTCTCGTAATCGTTGTCCCCATGTTATCAGCATACAAAAGCTCCCTAAAATCAGAACAATAAAATCAGAACATAAGCATGTAGTTTAGAACATAAGCATGTAGTTTAGAACATAAACACATAATTTAAAACATAAGAATATAGTTTAGAACATAAGTACCTATTTTAGAACATAAGCATATAGTTTTACACATGTACTTTATAACATAATCTCGTAGCTTAGAACACGCAGTTTAGAACATAAGAATGAAGTTTAGAACATAATTTATAGCTTAGATCATAAGCATATAGCTTAGAACATAAGCATATAGCTTAGAACATAAGCATATAATTTTAAAGTTTTAAAGTCTTACTTATTATCTCCTTGAGCAAACGCATACTCAGCTACCTTTCTATTGTCCACATTCTTGAAAAGTTTTTCATGTTCAACCATGAAAGGTGAACGCAAGTACATTGGAAGCTTATCCTTTCCTCTTTTTTTCCGTGTCTTTTCTTCTCCTTTTTCTTCTCCTTGTTTCCTACTTAATTCAATTAAAAAATATCACATAGATAACAAAAACCATAACTAAATCAAACGAAAATTTATTGATAACAAAAACCATAACCAAATCAAACCAAAATTTATTATTACCAAGTTCTAAATTAAAATTTAACTAAACCATAACCAACATTTGTTTTAAAGTTTACAAAATGATTACCCTTTCTTGTTCTCATTTTTTTCTTCTTTGTTCTTCTCTTCATTCTTGCTTCCTTCATTTTCTTTCTTCTCCTCTTGATTCTCCTGTTTTTCCTCCTTTTTCTTCTTCCCCTTTTCTTCTCTCTTCTCCTCTTGGATCTCCTCTTTTTCCTCCTTTTTCTTCTTCCCCTTTTCTTCTCTCTTCTGCTCTTGGATCTCCTTTTTTTCCTCCTCTTTCTTCTTCCCCTTTTCTTCTTTCTTCTCTTCTTTTTCCTCTTCTTTCTTCTTCTCCTTTTCTTCTTTCTTCTCCTCTTTTTCCTCTTCTTTCTTCTCCTCTTTTTCCTCTTCTTGCTTCTCCTCTTCATCCAATGTAGGTGGATGATCTGGATTTAGAAAAGCACAATTTAGAACATTTGCTGTCACTTCTTCGTAAGTGAGTTCTGCTTCATTATCTTCTTGATTTTCTGGGACATCAAACCATAAGTAGAAACAATAAGGACACAACATAGAAATAGTTGGAAAAAATTTAGAACATTAGAAATAACTAGAATATAACCAGAAAAATTTAGAACACAAGAAGTAACTTTAGAACATAACTAATTTACAACATAATTATATTATTTAGAACATATGCACATAATTAAGAACATAATCATACAATTTAGAACATATGCACATAATTTAGAGCATAACTAATTTCAAACATAATCATATTATTTAAAAAATATGCACATAATTTAGAGCATAACTAATTTAGAACATAATCATATTATTTAGAACATATGCACATAATTTAGAACATAATCATATTATTAGAGCATATGCACATAATTTAGTACATAATCATATAATTTAGAGCATATGCACATAATTTAGAACATAAGAAAGTAGTTTAAAACATAAGCATCTGATTTAGAAAAAATTTAGAACATCAGAAATAACTTTAGAACATAACAGAAAAAATTTATAACATAAGAAGTAATTTTAAAACAAATCTAGTAATATTATTTCAAAAGAAAAAAGTTTGAAAATAATGTAAAACTACCAACTGCTGGTGAGGGGGTCAATAACTTGAAACTTGGAGGAGTTATATCAAAAGGTTGCTTCTTTTTTGGAGGAATTGGGGTTTTTGGTGACTCCTCATTCCTTTTCTCTTTCTTCTCAATTTTTTCCTCCTCGTTTCTCTCTTTTCTGTACTGCTCTTTTTCTTCTTCTTTTGATCCCAAATCTTCATAGCAATTACACCATAAAAATTAAGTATTATAGTAAATAGCAAAAAATAATTAGAAAATAAAAAGTAACTTTAGAACATAAGAAATATATACAATTAGGAGACAACCTAGAAATAGTTAGAATATAAAAAATTAAGAATTAACTTTAAAGCATAACCAGAAAAAATTTAGAGCATAAGAAGTAATATTAGAACATATCTAGTAAATATTAGTACATAAAAAATGAATTTGAAAATAATGTGAAATTACCAACTACTGGTGAGGGAATCAACAAGTTTTTGTCTTTATTCTCTTCATTTCTCTCTTCTTTGTTCTTATCTTTTTCCTCTTCCTTTGATCTCAAATCTGCTTAACAATTAGAACATAACTAATTTAGTACATAACTAATTTAGAACATAACTAATGTAGAACATAATTATATAATTTAGAACATAAGCATGTGATTTAAGCGCATGTTTTAGAACATAAAAAAGTACTTTAAAACATAAGCATCTAATATAGAACATAAGTATAATTTGGAAATTAAGCATGTACATGTGAAATTACCAACTGTCGGTGACTTTGGTGACCTTGTTTCCTCGAATTTCTTCCATGCCTTATCCATAACCATATCCAATTCTTCAATAAATGCTGGTTCATCGAAGACATGTTGATCTTGGCTGAGTATAGAAGGGCTTTTCTTTTCTTCTTGGTTCACGAATGTCTATAAAATAAGAAATTATAATTTAGAACATAATATGCATAATATTTATATAAATTTATTATACTTTAGAACATAAGCTGAAAATACTTTAGAACACAACCAGAAAATACTTTAGAACATAATTATAATACCTTTGTTGTGTACTTGCACCATATGTTGTCTATGAGATGTTGCATTTTTCCTGTTGTTTCTTCCTCAACAAAAAGATCTTTTGCTTGTTCTAACATGCCATACATCTCTTTAACATTCGAGGCAAGTGTTTTTGCCAAATCTCCAAATTTGCTCAAAAAGCCCTTCATTAGAACACAAAAATATTTTAGAACATAAAGGACATAACATGGATAATTTAACAGAAAAGGATTAAATGGAGCATAAAATATAATTTACAATATAAACTAAATCATACCATCATGTCATTTCGAGAAGTTGTAGAACTAGAACCTATTGATGATTTTTCCATTCTCTTCTCTTTTTCCTTTTGTTTTGGTTGTTTCTTTTTTCCTTTTGGTGCCTTCTAGTATATAAATTATAAAATTTAGAAAACAACAACATAAAGTGTAGTGTTTAAACATAAACATATACAAATATCATACCACAATTGATTCTATTCTTTCCAAGAGTTTTCCATATCCAAATCCATGATCTTTTTCAAACTTATATCTCACTTGAATCCTTTCCTTTGTCCACACCGAAATTAGTGGACATTTTCTTGGTTTTTCTAACCCTCCTCTTTGTAGACGATCAAAATAGAATACCTATTTAGTACATGTTAAGAATTAATTAGAATATTTTTCACACATTTTCAACATAACAAGAATAATATATATACATAATGGTAAGAATTTAAAACTTACCATTAGAAAAGGTAAAGGACCTGTAAAGTAAGAATTTCCCTTCTTCCATACACTTACAGAATCTTTCAAGTGCTCAATCACAAATGTGCACCAATCCAATTCAGCAATTTTCTTTACATCCATACAACTATACAAGAATTTAATGTATAGTTGTGGGTTGTTTGTTGATCGAATGCAACAATTGACAACACATACCACAAAGTTCCAAAGAAATTCATCAGAAACTGATTTTTCCTTCTTCAATTCTTGAATTCTGTCAATCAATCTCTTGTTGGTTGGACTTCCCTTTTAGAGGTAAAAAAAAACATATAAATTAAAACCTATGGAGATAATAGATCTATTTTAAAGCAAAAAACACTTTAGAACATAAGCAAAGCACTTTAAAACATACAATTTATAACATAAAATTCATACTTTAGAACATAAAATTTAAAACATAACCACATTATATCATCATACTTTTTTGAGGCCAAACTTGCTTCTCCAAGCTTTTAGAAACTTGCTCCATTTCAGATTTGACTCATCATTTGGTTGCTCAATCCTTTTGCCTCCCAATGGCAACCCATAAGCCAAATGAACATCAATTGCCTCCAAAAAGATTTCTTGTTTTCTCTTTGGTAACATCAAACAACATCTCTCCGTGTCAAAATTCGTAACCAAGTTTTCTGTCAACCTAGAATTATAATGAAAAATGTAAGATTTAAAGCACAATACAGCTATATTTAGAATATAATAGTCAATCTTTAGAACATAGAAGATTAAAACATTTAGTATAATATTTAAACTTTTGAACATAATTTAGAACATTATATAATAAAAAAAGTCTATTTTAGAACATAATAAACATACATTAGAACATAACAAAAAATTAATTTAGAACATTAGTGTATAGCAATTCAAACATGAGAGTTCATAATTTTAGAATACAAGAAGTAACTTTAAAACATAAGTAATTTACAACATAATCATATTATTTAGAACATATGCACATAATGTAGAACATAATCATACAATTTAGAACATATGCACATAATTTAGAACATAGCTAATTTCGAACATAATCATATTATTTAGAACATATGCACAAAATTTAGAGCATAACTAATTTAGAACATAATCTTATAATTTAGAACATTAGTGTATAGCAATTCAAACATGACAAATCATAATTTTGAACATAACATTGATAATACTTATGATTTTAGAATATGATTTTAGAACATAACATTCTACTACTTACGTAGAATTAATATGGATTGGTAAATCCAATTCCAAAAAGCCTCCAAAACCAATGTTCCGAATAGCTTGCTTTTGTTTTTCCGAAAGATTTATCAACACATCCTTCATGAATTGAGTAGGAGGTACTCTTTGATAAGGTTGCCTCTTAACTAGTTTATCTTGCTCATTAGCTTCTACTACTTGGACATCCTCACCATCTTCTTCTTTTTCAATCTTTCTTTTCTTCTTCTTCACATCCTCACCATGAATAGATAAACATAATTAGAACATAGATAAGCAAAATTAGAACATAAGCGTGCACTTTAGAACATAAAAATAAAGATTGTAAAGATTAAAGAGTATTATTACCTGAGTTTGATTTTTTTTATCGATTTTTTGTTCCTCCTCACTATCATCTTCCATCTCCTCTTTTTCATCTTTCTCTTTCATCTTTACATCACCCTTATTATCATCCTCACCATCATCTTTACTATCATTATTCTTGTCATCATCCTCTACATTATTACCCTCTTCTTCTTTTTGATCTTTTCCTTCTTCTTGTTCTTTTTCTCTTCCTTCCTTTTTTTGCAATTTTCGAGGTGGTTGAAGCCTTGTTGGAAGTTTTCTATGTCTTATAGCAACACTTTTACTTTCAATATGCTTCTCAAATTCCGATCTATCAATTACTTCCGCTTCAACGTTTTCAACTTTCCTTTAAAAACAATTAAAAATAATTAGAATACAACTAACATTAAATAGAGTGCAAATATAAAGGGATAAGATGAACATAAACTATAATGGATACATATTAGAACATAATACAAATCTTCAGAACATAAGAGAAAATTTTAGAACATAATGGAAAACTTTAGAACATAATGGAAAACTTTAGAACATAATACAAATCTTTAGAACTTAAGGGAAAACTTTAGAACATATTGGAAAACTTTAGAACAAAATTTAAAACATAATAGGTAAAGTTTAGAACATTAGTTTAATTACCTTTTTCTTACATAAGTAATTTCTTCTTCTTGTATATTAGTAACTCCTCCTTCTGATTTTGCTTCATTTTGGCCTTGCATTTTGCTGCAATTTTAAGAAATAAAAAACATTAGTAACATTCCAACATTATTATTATATTTTTGAACATAGGAATAATTTAAAATATGCTGAAAAATAGTTTAGAACATGCTAAAAAAGAGTTTAGAACATGCTGGAGAGTGAAAAACCCAAAATAGAATGAGTAAACTAGAAATTTAAAAGACAAATGAAACAGAAACATGATAAGGTTTGATTGAGTTTATTTTCAGCCCATGTTCTAAATTATTTCAACCTATGTTATAATTTTTTCCTATGTTCCAAATTTTTCTACCTATGTTCTAAAGTTTATTTTCAGCCCTGCAATCACAAGTTCACTACCAACAACCCCTAACCAATTAGCTGCTGCTGCATAAATCAACCACCACACTACAACCCCTACAAACAGGGGCAATCGCACCAACATCACCAATTTTGAAAAAAAGTTTGTGAATTGGGCATGACAGAATTTTATATTGTACACTATATCTGATTGTTCTGCAAAACCTTTCAGAACTAATTAATCTTCAGTCTGACATCTGACAAATGTTTAACATTATTAAATCAAATCCCATGTAAATGTAATTTCATCTTCTCAGGCTTCTCTGTTATTTTGTCCATTTTATAGCTAAAAACCAAATCCTACTAAATTAATAGATTATGTAATACTAAGTACTGTAAGGACTTAGAGGGTCAGAGCCCACATTTTTGGTGTAGTGGGAGAGGGTTTTATACTTTTACAGTTTTTATTTACTCTACGAAGTACTATATGCATTGTTCTTTTAGGTTAGCCAGGCTAGCCGCTATCGAAAAAATCAGCAAAAATCGAACACTAAATTCGAACTATAGATCCAGAAAAATAAGAAAAAATAGAACATAGAGAATAAGCCAGATTTGTTTTTAGACATGACTAATTGATGCAAGCAGAATAAGTAATGCCAAGTTGTTCAAGCTATGCTTGCTCATTAATCTTCATACCACCATATGACAACAATAGCCACCATCCATACCACCATATGCAACAAAATCTTCATACAAACATGGCTTCTCCTCTCAATGACAACAATAGCCACCAAATCAAGGCAACATGTACAGCAATCCCGGTCACTCGTATTGTGTCCATTGGTAATCCAAAAGATGACTCAGACTCACTACTCATCAAACTCAAAGTCGATTTCAAGCCATTAAATAACATTGACGGAAGAGTGTTATCACACATATCCATCAACAACAAATACCAGATACATATCCATCAACAAGAAAAAAAACAATGATTTTAAGAAATACTGGACATTCATATTCATAGCTATAATTTCGCTTACTAACGAAATCGAGCATTTAGCAGACATTTTAAAAAAAACGCAAATATCAACTCACGAAATATCAAAAACAAATCAAAAAAACCATAAAAATCGAAAACAGAAAAACCATTAAAATCGAAAAAATCATCGAAAAATCGAACTAAAAAAACATAAAAACGCAAATATCAAATCACGAAATCGCAAAATCAAATCAAATAGTCGGAAAACATAAAATCGCAAAAATCAAAACAATAAATTGCAAAATGTACTTGAACAACATGCTAAGTTCATGGAAATTTGAACAAAATCGAAAAAAAAAAACGCAAAATCAAATCAAAAAATCGGAAAACATAAAATCGCAAAAAGCAAACCAAAAAATCGCAAAATCTACTTGAACAACATGCTAAGTTCATGGAAATTTGAACAAAATCGAAAAAAAAAACATACCTGAGTCGAAAATCCTTCAAATTGCAATTTCTATGGAGATTTTTAAGGGTTTGCAAAAGAGAATGAGATGAGCACGAAGAGAGAGAAAGTTAGAGGAGAGAGAAAATTTTGATCGGGTGGTAGGGCCGTAGGGGGTATGAGGAAAAATACGTGTTTTAATCTTAACCGTCTAAATTACCTTAATCCTACGGCTGAGATTGGTTCTTATATAACTAGGGTTCTTATATAAGGAGGGGTTCTTACCGGATCCCTCCCCTATATATATATATATATATATATATATATATATATATATATATATATATATATATATATATATATATATATATTGGTATGCGACACTGGTTATATTTGTTGTATGGAGTTTAATAGATGCTTAAATTTATTAAAAAATAATTATTTATTTATTATTGTATAATCTCCTTATATGCTTGAGGAATGCAATTTGATAACCCTGCATTGAAGGTGTTGCAAAATGCTAACTGGCCAGCCAATACTAAGAATTAGGGAGTATTACTTTATTCACTATGATTCCATGATTATTATGCTTGATTGTATGCTATTGATTTAGGATTATCATTGCTACCTTATTATAATAAACTATGGCTTATTAAGCATGCATTATTGGATGATGGTGAATTTATTGAATTGGTGGAAGTTTTTTTTTTTTTTTTTTTTATGTCTCGTATTATTTTTTCTGT